ACCGAAGAGGAAAAGGCCCTGGTGTCGGTCAAGATGCACAAAGAGGACCTGGTGCCGGTAAAGATGCACAAAGAGGCGGCCCTGATTCGGGGCAATATGACCAAAAAGCAGTACCAGGTGCCGGTCAAGATGGCCGAAAAGGAAAAGGTCCTGGTGCCGGTCCAGATGCACAAAGAGGAGGACGTGGTGCCGGTCAAGATGACCGACAAGGAGGACCTGGTGCCGTTAAAGATGCACAAAGAGGCGGCCCTGTTGCCAGTCAAGATGACCAAAGAGGCAGCCCTGGTGCCGGTCAAGATACACAAAGAGGCGGTCCTAGTGCAGATCTAGAAGAACAAAGGCGAGGTCGTACTGGGCCCGGTACTGGCCAAAAGGATCGACCTGGTGCGGGAAAATATGATAGTCCGGGTGCTGGTCAGACTGGTGAGCCTGGTGAGCCTGGTGCAGGCAAGGATGGTGGTCCGACTACTGGTCAGGGAGGGGAACCTGATGATGGTAAAAGAACAGGGCCTATTGCTGGCATGGAAGGAAGCCCAGCTACAGTTCGTGAAGGCGGACCTAATGCTACTAGAAAAGACGGGTCGGATGTAGGCATGGGCGGTGGGCCAGCTGATGGTCGTCAAGGTGGGCCAGATGCTAGTAGAAAAGGAGGACCCGGTACAGAAGAGGTCGGCGGATCTAATGACCTCAAAAGAGGTGAACTTTATACTTATTTAAAAGTTATAATATATTCAAATAAAATACATTCTTATTTTAGATGACGGTGCAGGCAGGGATGGCGTTCCAGGTGTAAGTGGACCAAGTACTGGTACTCCCGGCAGTCCCACTGCGGCTGCAGGTCCGTCCGGCGCTGACGGTGCTACAGCAGGTCCCACAGGCGATGGTTCTGCAGTCGGTGGCGGAATAACTGGCGGTGGTACCAGAGGCATTACAGATGCAACTGGCAAAGTCCATGGTGTTGGTGGTGGTGGTAGCCCGGGTAGACTACAAATGCAAAGTGGTGCCAGTCCTAGTGGTGGTGGGGGAAAAGGACGTAAAGGAAAAATTTCCGATGCTCCTGGAGACGATGCTTTCCAACAATTCATCGACGTTAATGCCACTACAATGATGTCAAATATAAAGGCTGGCAGTGCGCTGGAGAAGGAACTGCGCGGCATACTGAATGCTTTCATGATGGAGTGTGGATTCTGTTTCTGTAAAAGTCTTGTGCCGAAGAGCAAATTTTATGCCCTCTGTCACAAGCTATTGCACAGCGGCATACAATGTATGGCTTTCCGCGAGTTGGCATATATGCATCGAAAAGTATTCATGGCCGCTGACAAGTTGCATCCAGGCTGTCTACTAAATATGATACTCACCGAGCAAGGTTTCAAGGATGGCGAGCGTCTCAAGTGTTGCCATTGCAAAAACGCGCTCTGCTGCAGCAATTCAGCGGAAATGCTCAAAGAAAAAGGTAAGTGTGAAACGGTTAATTGGAGTACTTCATCAGCCTTATCATGAGTTTCAATTTCCCCCAATCGATTCACTTTTCAACTTTTGGTTTTCATGGTTTTACTATGGGTGGATGACAAATTTTCGGGTGAATTTTTTTCAGGTGAAACTCAGGATAAGGCAGAATATCTTAATTTTATATATGTTTGTATACATATGTATGTACATGTATTTTTTTCTAAGTGTACAAGTTGGAGCGGGACATTGAGATGGCCAAGGAACATCTGGACAGCTTGAGGGTGCAGACACGATCGCCTAAGAGTCCATGTACAACACGCGGAAAGACATACCGGCAAATGGAAGACAGCTATTCAGAAGCTGTTGAAGAGTAAGAACACATTCAATTGAGCATTTGCTGGAACTTGGAACAACCCACCCGCCTCATAA